TAAAAAGTTGGCGCCCAATTATATTGTTGAATATCATATACAAAATTGCATCAGGAACAATAGCTAGCAGAATAAGGAAAATTTCAGATGTTTTAATTGGTGAGGATCAATCAGGTTTTATTTCGGGTCACTACATTGGTGAGAATACGAGATTAGTGTATGATATAATTTTATATGTTGAAAATATGAATATTCCGGGTATGTTTTTGATAGATTTTGAGAAAGCATTTGATTCTGTTTCTTGGAAATCTATTGATGAAGGTTTTAAATATTTCAATTTCGCATCTGACAGAAGAAATTGGATAAAGATGCTTCATAATAATGTTAGTGCAGTTGTAAATCAAGATGGAACCTTGTCTCCATTCATCAATATTAGAGGAGGCTGTTGTCAAGGCGATCAATTTGCTCCATATATTTGTATTCTATTTGTAGAAATTTTGGCCATTAGACTTAAAAATAATAAGGAAATAAATGGGGATAGATATCGGTAACACTCTAATTCTAATCTTTCAAAATGCTGATGACACCTCCCTTATATAGATTGTTCAGAAATGTCATTGAGAGAAGCAATTGTAGAATTAAATGCTTTCGCAAAAATCTCTGGCGTGAAATTGAATATTGACAAAACACAGGTGGTTTGGATCCGGAGTAAAAAATAAAGTGAGGACACTTTGTTACCATAGTTGAAATTCCAGTGGGGAAAAGTTAAGTTAACACTTCAGTTCAATTTAGTGTTAATTTACTTAAAATTCCAAAATTAAACTATATTAAGAAATTAATTAAATCAAAATCTAATGTCAAAATATGGAGAAGGAGGTCACTTACTCCTGTGGGAAAAATTCATCTCAATAAGTCTTTAATGATATCCCAATTTAATCATTTATTTATTGCATTGCCAAACCCTGATGATAATTTCATTGTTAAACTGAATTCAACTCTTTTTCACTTTCTGTGGTATGGTAAAACTGATAAAGTAAAGAGAGATATTGTTACTCAGAATTATTGTGATGGAGGGCTGAAAATAGTAAGGGCATTTATTGATTCTTTGAAACTGGGATGGGTAAGAAGATTGTTTCAGAAAACAGCTAAATGGCAAGTAATTCCTGAATCTTGCACAGATCTGAATTTGTTATCTACCAGGGAGAAGGAGTATATTAAAAAATGTCATAATTGTGTAAAAATAAACTTTGGAAGGATGTTTCTGCAGCCTGGATAAGATTAAATGACAGGGTTAGGACAGAAATTATAAGAAGTAATATTTGGGAAACCTCTCTATGGTTCAATGAGGATTGGTGGAAGGAAAACAGTTATATTCAATCAAGCATGGTTTAATAGAGGGGTGACTATGGTAAAAGACATACAAAAAGATTTTGATTCTTGCACTTTTTATAGATGTCAAGAATTTAGTCAACTGATGATGATGATGATGATGATGGAGTGGATGGATGGATGAATGAATTAATGTATGTGGCATTCACATGTATTCTGTTTATGTCAAAAAGCTTTAAAAAACCAAATATTGCAAAAATATCGCCGACAAGGATTTCTAGCTTTCAACAACTTATAAAAGCATGTAATACGTTACCGAATCAAAATTCCAGAACTGAACTTGGAAATAAGTCTGAGAGATGTCGACGGTCACGTGAATGGCGGTATTAATATTGTATATTACGTGTAAGATTCCAGTACTTGTACATTGGTGGGGTGGATCATTAGTGTTTTATCCCTCTGGTGTAAAATAAATCTGAACGTTGATTTACATAAATGATCAAAAATGAGATCACGACATTCTTTCCCTAATTCGGCACGACTGAATTATTTCCATATCGCTAGTACATGTATTTGAAAATAAGATCACGAGTACGTGCATTTGACAATGAGATATTAACAACGATTGCAATAAGTCAACATGTTTAAATTGAATTGATGTGAAACAAATAAATAGGTGATGAATAAACAAATAAAATTGAATGAATTGGGTCGGGTTGGGAAGGTAGATGAGAATCGAACTGTGCTAAAATGTTAGAGTAAGATCAAGTGGTTTCACAGTTAAGTACTCAAATCACCACAATAACATAATAGTTCAGGACTGCATTAAGATAAAACAAGGGACAAACACCCTCATACTTACGTAACCAGGGCTGACCTACAATAAGTACACCACAGGTCGCGTTCTCAGGAGATATGGTGACAAGTGGATCTGGTAACAAGTAGATATGGCATGCTTCTCGGTAGGGATTTTTTTCTGAAGTCTGATAAATGGTTTATATCAATTTAAATATTAAAAAAATATGAAGTCATATATTCTGTTCTCTTCAGTACGGGTCGAATCATCTAATTAGGCATAAGATTTGAACCTTGTATAACATTACAAATTATACTCACAAAATATAGCTCGCACACGAACAATTTTGTCATAATTCCTTTCCATTTTCGGTGAAATCATATGATCAATACGTAAATAAATAACATTAAAGGCCCGTGGAGAAAAGAGGAGGGGGGGGGGGGAGGAATAAACAATAAAAAATGAGACGGTCCTTTAATCTTTTGAGTGAGTTGGCGATGAACAATTCTGCTTTTTTTTTATTCCTTGCTCAACACACGTGCTCTAAAACGACTAAATATATTAGTAAACTGAAAGGAAAAGAAGCGGTAAACAATATACTGATACTGAAGACCAAAAGGAAAGCGTAGTAGAAATGAAGAATATATAAAAAGAGGCAGTGTAGAAAATCTTACTTTGTTCAATACCGATAATTCAAATTCAAAGCTGAAAACGCCAACACTCACAACGTTCCGTTCTATCGAATTTGAATTATGATTCTGTTGATTTGTCTGTATTTTCTTTTAGTGTTTCACTTCACTTCAGATGAATTTTGTCTCCCATGCATCAAGTGATCTTAGAGACAACTCATTCGGGGCAGTGTCAATATAAAACGGTTAATTCAGGATCGAAAGCAATGATTCATTTTGAAATTAACAAATGCCATACCAAAATATTCTTCATCAACCCTAAGCATACAGAGAATTCTGTTCATCTGTTCATCCGTAGCAACAGTACTTTTGACACGTATCTATGACCTAAATTGAGGTACCAAAATTCCACATTTTTAAACTAAACGACAGTATGGTTGAACTGTCCAGGTGTTTAATAATCTTTTCTTAAGAATGTTTATTACAAAAAATAGTAAACACATTATTAAAAATGAGAGAGTGCAGAGAGAGGGAATTATTCGGTACCAACTGCTAACTTAAACTATTGCATAGCTTTTGCTGATCAGCCATTTAACTCGTTGTTTCCGAAATACTGGATTTATTTTCAAAACAAATTGATTAAGATATTGTTTAAACAAAGTTGTGAAGTTTGAAAGACTACACACACAGTGAAGTGTTAATATCAAAGCGCGGCACATGGAAGTTCGTTACATATCCGTCTGTTTCACAGGTACAAAATCTCATGACCTTCACCTTATGTAATTATGGTTATCTAAGTAGTGACGATATAACCCCGTGTGCACGAGAACGTATATCGCTGTACGTCGTTACACCAACAGACGCTTGCCAGCATCCAGATTCAGTCGAAAAAGGTACCAGTTTGTTTGATCCATGAAATCACTTCATTTTTATATCGTTTGATAATATTTGTAAATGTTATTATTTAATGTCAGATATAACCTTTTAAAATCTAGTATGCTACCATAAAATACAGACATTAGTAACCCTGAAATTCTTGTGGTATTTCTACAGAAATCGATATTTTCCTTTCGAGTTGTCCAAACAGTCTCGTTGATAGGAACGAGATATGATAACTTTTGGGTCGTGTTCTGTTCAAGAACTACAAAGTCCTGTTTCACTGTCATCCATTCTTAATAAAATCACGGTGAACTTCTCAACATTTTCACCTATTTCAGTATATAAAAATCACAATCACTATACTCATATTTGAGGTGATCAGCGTATTTTGCTAACCAATATATTTTTTTTCAATGTATAAGAAAGACCAGCCCGTGAAGAGTATATTTTACAACGTAACAATTCAAGCTTTGCCAATGTCCAGCAAGATGGAAATACAAAAAAATAAATAATAAAAAGAATTAAAAAGATGCAAACGTCGATTTAAAGACATCATTGATATCTTTATGTATCTAATTCTAAGTAACTTTCTCCATATCTACATCATCGCACTCATTCAGTTAATTTTTCGCCATAATCCATCGTCATTTATTTATCTATGTATCTGTTTTTCTATTTATCTATGTATCATTTACTGTATTTATCTATGTGTTATTTATTTATTTATTGTATACTCCTATTGTAGATCTAAGGAATAACGTTGATAGTAATATGAGTATTGTGTACCTAGACATCGCGGAAATACAACACTTTGACACTTGTGATGTATCCGTGGAAAATGACATCAGATTTTTCGTTACATTACCTAACCTTTGAGCTTTATAATAAGAGAACGTTGGTGGCTAGGGACGGGGTGACCATAGATTGACCCTGGTATAAATACATCTACGATGCTAAATTACTGAATACTTCCTGTGAGTTTTTAAATATATTCTTATATGCTTTTCAAAGATGAGGAATCATAAGAATTATTACATAATGAGAAATATTATATTTTGTTTCAGTGTTCAATAATGATATAGATAATTACTTACTTAATTAATTAACTACTACTATGCTTGTATATGTTTCCTTTCTCTCTTTTTTTAATTTTTCGAAATTGATTTTTTTATAAATCGCCATTTCCGATGCTATGAAGATCCTGTTTCACAAGCTAGTAATTCACTAGATTTGCACCTTAAAAACCAGAAAAATCTTTTTGATCTTTTTAGAAGACTTGTAAAAGCTTGTATAAGATGTTAAGACAATGTTTAGCTTTCCAAACACGTTTTTAACGCCCCTAAAACAAAAATTAGTATATTGATATTTTTAGTTAACGCCGTTGACGTGACAGTTTACATATTACCTGTAAGCATTTTTTATCTCAGATGGCAAAAACAGTGCTGGTAATAGGGGCGGGTGTGGCCGGACTGGCTGCGGTCAAACAATGTCTGGACGAGGGAATGGAACCAATATGCTTTGAGAAGGATACGGACATTGGGGGACTCTGGAATTACCACAACTGGTCTAAAGATGGCGACCCAAGCCTTTACAACTCATGTAGTATTAACACTAGTAAAGAAATGACCTGTTACAGTGACTTTCCGATCCCCAAAGAGTTCCCAAACTTCATGGGACACAAACACTTTAAGAAATACCTCCAACTCTATGCAGAAAATTTTGGCCTGATGAACTACATAACTTTCAGCCACATTGTTGAGGACGTTAAAAAGGCAGACGATTTCGACGACACCGGAAGTTGGGTGACGTCAGTGAAGAATTTAAGCACTGGCAAATCACGGAATGTGAAGACTGATTTTGTTATTGTGTGTAACGGACACCTCAGTATTCCGAATGTGCCGACATTCTCTGGTCTAGATAAATTCAAAGGCAAGGTCATACACACTCACGATTACAAGGACTTCCATGGGTTCGAAGGGAAGAGAATATTGGTGATCGGCATTGGTAATTCCGGCTCCGATGTCGCCTGCGAGTTGAGTCGTCATGCTGAACACGTAAGCATAAGAGTACAATGATCTTGTTTTGACCATTAAGGGGACAAGTTTATCACAATATGTTTTGAAGTCCTTAAATTTGAAAATGGGCACGATGAAAATATAATCATTTACTTGGTCTGCATGTGGCTAAGCTAAACTATTGTATCTGTCATTTCACGCCCAGTCAGAAAACTTTCCGGTCTAATCAGTGAAATTCTTTCAATAATTCTATTTGCAGGTATATGTAGCAAGCCGACGAGGGACATATGTAATCTCGAGAGCTGCAGAGTACGGCGTCCCGTTTGATCATCTCGCCATCAACAGATTTTCCCAGAGCCTGCCTTGGAGTCTCATGCGACCCGTTTTCTTCCACCGTATAAATCGTCGCTATAAACATTCCAACTACGGCCTGTCGCCAAACTACTGCTTTGACGCGGGTGTTGTCACTATTAGCGACGACCTTCCGAACAGAATCCTACTAGGCACTATTAATGTGAAGTGCAATGTGAAGGAGTTCACAACAGATGGCGCTATATTCGACGACGGCTCAGTTCTTAAGAACATCGATGTTGTCATCCTTGCTACGGGATTCAACTTTGATTTTCCTTTTCTTGATGATGGAATCATCAAAATTGAAGGACATTATCCTTATCTGTACGAACTGATGTTTCCAACTGATTTGAACCCATGCACCCTCGGTGTTGTCGGCTTAGTCCAACCGTTTGGCTCGCTTCCGCCAGTTTTAGAAATGCAAGCAAGATGTATCACCAGGGTGTTTGCTGGAAAATCTAAGTTACCTAGCGCATCCAAACGTCTTGCCCATGTAGAAAAACGCAAAGATTTTATCAAAGCGAAATATGTCGACTCTCCCAGGTATAGTCTGCAGGTTTACTTCATTCAGTACCTCGACCGACTTAGTGCAATGATCGGATGTAAACCGGACCTCTGGAAACACTTCTTCTCTGATCCGAAACTTTGGTATAAACTGTATTTTGGGCCAGCTACCCCAGTACAATGGCGCCTGGACGGTCCCGGCTCTTGGGAAGGTGCCAAGAACGCGATCGAAAGGGTGGAGGAACATACATATCTGCCTATGAAATCGCGACAGTCAGGGGAAGGAGAGAGGGACGGACTTTACGACGGCTGGATTCTTCTCTTCAAGAAAATATGTTTCTTAGTCCTTCTTTTCTACGTCTTCAGATACGTGATTGCTAATGGCTACGTCACTAATCTTGTAAAATTCTCGTAGTCGTATGTGTTTCAGAAACAAAGTGACAAATTGTATCATATGAACCATGTATTTGATTATGATGCAAGACTCCTAACTTTCCACAAAGTGATCCAGTATCCAAAGCATAGAGTGACACGGACTTCAGAAAATAAGCCTCCAGTTGCGTTAGAAGACCCGTAATATATCGACAGTAAATTGATTCAATGTCAGATTCTACCATTTGTATATGCAGATGGCTTATATTTTGTAAACCTTCATTTTCAATCAGCTGTATCTCTGCATTTACTTAAAAATAAAATTTCTTTTGATTACTTGTCCGACTGACTTTATCATACATATTACATATTTGCCCGTTAAATGATATACGTGCTTGCCCCTCCCATCTCAACTAGGTAATCGCAGGTGTATATGAATAATTTGCTATATCCCCATACTCCTGCAAACGGTAGGTTTGTTATATTCCCATCACTGCAAATGTAGGTCTGCTATATCTCCACCCCTGCAAACATAGGTTTGCTATATCTCCACCCACTGCAATGGCGCAGCCGTTGTTGGAATACACTTGCCACATATATTTTGCTGTATTCGGCAGTGACGGAAAACAGCTGTTATTTAGCACGTGCGGTAATTCAACAGAATTACTATCTGAATTTACTTAGATTTTACGTTTAAAATATAAATAGTTGTTGAAATAAGCGATTTTACATGTTGTACTGATTTATTGATTTATGAAAATTCATAAAATCGCTATTATATCCGATGAACTTTGGAATTGTTTCCGCGCGGAGCAATTATTTGGACGTTCGTCATCAGGCAAAGTTCAGCGTAACTGTAAAGTCAGGTAAACACAGAGTTAACAAAACTGTTGAAGTTTGATGGTCTGATTTTCAATCAGTGTTACAGGATAAATAAAATAAATGGTCAGTTGTAGAGGCTCGCCACTTTTGTCTCGCTTCAAAATACAGCTTATATTTTAAGACACTGGCCATGTATTCTCTATACACTTGTAACATATAACGAAACAGCTCACATATGGTATTGATATAATTTTATTGTACGGTAAAGCTTTATTGTAAGTGTTAACGTTACTATCCCATCTAATTTCAAAAATAGAGTGACACTTCAGTTCAATATTGCACTTTTACGTCTTTTGTGCAATTTCAGTTTCATTTATATCGCTGATCACAATGCTTTAATATTAAGATAAAGTCCATTTTTACTTCTAAGGATGAGCATGGCTTCCGGTTCCGCTGGCCGAGTGGGGTCTAGGGTCAACCGGAAGTTACGTAATACCGTTGGAACGACAACCTTCAACTGGGTCGTTGCGAAAGCCTGTCCTATACAGTTTCTGAAATAATAAAATATTAGTTTAAGTTTCCTCGAAATTTCTTGGATGTATCAGATATCTTTAATATTTTCAATATTTAAGTTTAGGACAACTGGTAAACCGCGCCGATTCAGTTTTTAATTTTCCTTGTAATATGCCGGTATTACCAGGATAACGGTACGGTATCAATATAATCGGATCTCAAGTTTATAAGCATAGAATTCATACAGATATGTACATAATTTATTCAGGTCTGATCTGCATACAAATAAGTGAAATCTTAGCTCAGATTAATAAGGACATTGGGGGTATCAATATTACCTAGGGCCCATTGAAAAAGGGATGAAATTCCCGGAGCCGGCATTGGTTTTCTTGTTCTCTTCGGAAAATCTGTATGGGTCAAATTCCTGTACGAATAATCATAAGTGACCATAGGTCATTTAGGGAACAAATCAAAACAACTAAAAAATACGGACATGTCCACAGAATCTGAATTCAAATTTAAACTCCTATGAAAGATTGCACTAGAGAAACAAGTCAATAGCGCCTTCTGATACAAATTTATATTAAGATACAGCAGGGCCAAACAATAAATGAAACATCATATAGCTGTTTCGTTCTTATAGGTCTCGTCAATGATGCTAAGGACCTAAAGTGTGAAGCATAAGAGTAAAACTAAGACAAAATATGAACAAACGTAAGAAACTTATTTAAGGGCAAGACGACAATTTGTTTCCGAAGAAGAAGCGTTTTCTGCTTCATTGATCAAATAAGATATATCTAAAATATGTTCATTAATGTCATTGTCAGGTCACGTTGTCCTGGTGAGGTGACCTATGTAAATCAACTACACAAGTCTTGTGAAGAACCATAAACAGACTGACTTCATACACTCATACATCTAAATATTTACATAACATCCAGATTACATAGGGGCGTTTTTCATGTTTGAAATATCAAAAAGAAAAGTTCATTCATACCCTTACAGTACTACACGAACTTCAGGTAAATCAATACTAATATAACAACGTACTTCAGGATTGTCCCAAACATCCGGGTTCCTGTGTAGAGCAAACAATGACACTGCCATTCTCATACCTGAAAGGAGAAACAATTATCAATATTGTCGTTGACTATTCGAATATAACATTCAGGAATATGCAGAGCTCTCCTGTCCGTGCAGCATCCCAAAATGCCATTTAAGCAGCTTAAATTATTCTTCATTGTCAATGAATATCGTGTAAAAGCTGAGGTCTTAGAACTGGACGGCTAAGGGCTATGGTGTATATGTCGGTTCATCTTCCTCAACATAGCTTGACTGTTTAAGACCACCATTCTACTGAAAAGTCAAACCTTCGCGAGCTTAAGATTTTGCAGGCTCTCTCTCTCTCTCTCTCTCTCTCTCTCTCTCTCTCTCTCTCTCTCTCTCTCTCAATATCTCTTTATTTCGTAGTTAACTAGTACTAAAGAATTCCACGTGCACTAAACATATTGTGAATTTTAAACTGTCCATTAATTTGTGGATTTGTAGTACCCACTAAAGTTAACCTTCTACAATTCTATAGTATGTTGATTCAGTGTACATTTCTTTTTAATTGTTAAGTGGATGCCGTCCTCGCATGACGTCAGCTGTCGCGAAAATAACAAACCTAAACATAGTAGCAGTCGATCACGTGTTATGTCTCACCTGTTGGTATATTGCGGCCATCAGGTAAGGTAATGTCCTTTTCAGCACACCTGGACACATTTGGCACAGGTGGAAATAACCTCTGACTTTCTTTGATACAGCTAAAGGTGAAGGACACTTTGTGAATGTCGTCCCTACCACGAAAATTAAACCACGTTATAATGTGAGGAAGAATCTTTGTTATTATTTATGTTGTTAATCTCAAAACTTAATTTAGAAGTACACGGATCGCTTAGTCTATTTTATAAATTCAATGATAAACTGTTCTTTCTTAATGTAGACATGTTGCCGATCATCAGTCGAGCTATCTTATGAATCCTGACAACAGTAAGACATAAGTATTGTTGTAGTAGACAGATAAACCTGACCTACCACGTGAGCTCGGACTTGTCCCCCCATTCCCGCTCCACCTCCTCCCGACACAGGTCCTGATACTCGGGATGTAGGGCCAGGTTATAAAGACACCAGGACAATGTACTGGCTGTGGAATCATGACCCGCAAACATAAATGTGTCCACCTCGTCCTGAATCTCCTGGTCACTCAGTCCTTGGCCGTCCGAGTCCTGCAACGGGAGTACAAATACATTCATATTAAGATGTGATGACAGAATGATGGCACTTATGTCTTGTGTCCAACTTTCAATAGTTTCATTTGAATGTAGAGAGGGAGGCGATTTCGAGAAATAAATAGCGCTATTGCGTATCACGTGAACGGCTATCATCGCGCACAGAAAAAATGCAAGCTTAATATAGCTTAGGAATCATTGTCATTCCTTTATGTCAGTAGATTTGCAAACAAACAACATCAGTATAACAGTACTGCCATGTTTTTCCTCACGATTACTTTGTTACTTGTTCCCAAGCCTTTGCTCATCGATTCAGAATATATGTTTACATAGGTACCTTTGCCGTGAGTAAAATGTCCAGAAAGTCGACGTTTCTTGATCCGGATTTCTCTGTCTCTAACAATTTTCTCCTCTGTTCTATCAACATATTCGAGTGTCCGTGTATTGTATCGCAAGCGTATTTAAATTTACGTCTGCAACAAAGAATCGGAACGCATTATCATATTAGATAACACTTGCTCAGTATTAACAATGCAAGTCAGAAGAGTCCTTAAATTATATCTTTCAATAAAGGCGCGCTATATTTAGGAATGTTCACATTTCCTTTGCAACCACTCCTCGTAATGTATGCTGCAAAATCAAACCATATATTATTTCATGAAGCACGCAGTATTCATTTCTTGGAGCGTCTTACAACCAGGAGGCAAAAATGTTTTAGGCAAATAATGGTACAAGAATATGACGATATTTTGACGATAGATATAAAAAAAAAAGCCTCCATTTCTTTGTTTTCAGAATAGGGTATATTTCTCCATGCCAATTGCTGATAAGGCTGGTTTGAGGATGGACTAATATTAAACACTATAGAAACATCTTAACATCTTGAGCCATCGAACAATATGTATGTGTGGTATACATTTACCCGTTTTCAGACATAGAGTATATGAAGTTTATATTGATCCAGTCTCGGACTATTGTTAAGTGATGGTTACCCGTTTTCAGACAAGGAGTACGAAGTTTATATTGATCCTGTCTCGGACTATAGTTAAGTGATGGTTACCCGTTTTCAGACATAGAGCATATGAAGTTTATATTGATCCAGTCTCGGACTATTGTTAAGTGACGGTTACCCGTTTTCAGACATAGAGCATATGAAGTTTATATTGATCCAGTCTCGGACTATTGTTAAGTGACGTTTACCCGTTTTCAGACATAGAGCATATGAAGTTTATATTGATCCAGTCTCGGACTATTGTTAAGTGACGTTTACCCGTTTTCAGACATAGAGCATATGAAGTTTATATTGATCCAGTCTCGGACTATTGTTAAGTGATGTTTACCCGTTTTCAGACATGGAGCATATGAAGTTTATATTGATCCAGTCTCGGACTATTGTTAAGTGATGTTTACCCGTTTTCAGACATAGAGTATATGAAGTTTATATTGATCCAGTCTCGGACTATTGTTAAGTGATGTTTACCCGTTTTCAGACATAGAGTATATGAAGTTTATATTGATCCAGTCTCGGACTATTGTTAAGTGATGTTTACCCGTTTTCAGACATAGAGCATATGAAGTTTATATTGATCCTGTCTCGGACTATAGTTAAGTGATGTTTACCCGTTTTCAGACAAGGAGTTTATGAAGTTTATATTGATCCAGTCTCGGACTATTGTTAAGTGATGTTTACCCGTTTTCAGACAAGGAGTACGAAGTTTATATTGATCCTGTCTCGGACTATAGTTAAGTGATGGTTACCCGTTTTCAGACATAGAGCATATGAAGTTTATATTGATCCAGTCTCGGACTATTGTTAAGTGATGTTTACCCGTTTTCAGACAAGGAGTACGAAGTTTATATTGATCCTGTCTCGGACTATTGTTAAGTGATGGTTACCCGTTTTCAGACAAGGAGTTTATGAAGTTTATATTGATCCAGTCTCGGACTATTGTTAAGTGATAGTTACCCGTTTTCAGACAAGGAGTACGAAGTTTATATTGATCCAGTCTCGGACTATAGTTAAGTGATGTTTACCCGTTTTCAGACAAGGAGTTTATGAAGTTTATATTGATCCAGTCTCGGACTATTGTTAAGTGATGTTTACCCGTTTTCAGACAAGGAGTACGAAGTTTATATTGATCCAGTCTCGGACTATTGTTAAGTGATGGTTACCCGTTTTCAGACATAGAGTATATGAAGCCGTAGTGATGAAGCGGATTCATGATCCTCTTGATGATGAGGTCAGAGACGTCATACACACACTGGATGTACGCGGGGCGCACCCTGGTGGAGAAAAGACAACCCATAACATATTAGTTATTGATAGAGGGACGAAAATGTAATTTATTTCCTCTTGAAGTCCATGTGCATTTATTCATGAGGATTATCTTCGGACCAAACAATGTCGGTAAATTATCAATTTGTACGAAAAAGCAATCTAATATGAAAACTAAGAACGAGACACCATCAACTGTGGTTTTGTTACAAATAAAGCATACGTTTCCAGCTGACAGTTGCTATGGTGACCAAACAAACACTTCATCATACTGTCCATTGTTAATAGACTCATGTGATGAAACATCTCCTCGCATCCAGGATTTTCCCGCCATTTTTTCTGTAATTTTAAGAACACATCTTTGTTAAACAGTGCTGTGAAGCCTAACTATTATGTTACACATTCGCTAAGTGCAGAAAATTCAATACTTTGAATATATTACAAATGAATCACTGGCAAAATATAAGTTCGTCTTGTAAACATTAAGAACTGGTTACCATAGTTACTAATCGATTTTGTGATCTTTAAAATTCGTAAAGACGATAACTCCATTTTCTGGTATTCATAAACAACGCAGAAGCCTTTCTATATTACCAGTTTGGAGGTTGTCACTAATGGTGGACTTTTAGATCTCGAGGTTTGCCGTATCGTGCATGCCACGCTTTAATGCATTCGAATAGTGGCACGGATCAGAATATACACACGTACTTTGTATAAGAAAATCGCGAAATTTATTGAATTATGGGACTCGTGCACCTTCCCATCTAGATGTTAACTCTTTCGATCACATACGATTTTCTTCAGTCTCGTAGGATTCAAAACTTATGTCCTTATCATCACTGACCAGTCCTAGCAGTACGAAACAACCGTAGGATGCAGTTTAATTAATTGTTCGGTTCTACTATATCTTATTGACAGGTGCTATTCACTTGTGTGTCTTTCGTTTACTTTTGAACTGTTGATACAACTGGTATATTCTCTCTATGATACATAGACCATAAAGATAAAAATCCAAAATGAGAATCTAGTCAGAATTTACCACCAACACTTGCGTTGATTGGTTGAATATTTTAACGTAGTGTTTCAGTATGTCCATGTGGAATGCTGGAGTAAGCATGCGTCTGTTTCTGTCCCACTTCCGTCCGCCCGCCAGGAGTAAACCTTCTCCTAAAACGTTGATAGTTTATATATACAATTACATCGAGACAAAAGACAACAAACGATGGAAAATATAATTCCACATCTAACGAATATATAATACTACATCTACCAGAATAAAAAAAAAAAAAAATAATAATAAAATTTTGTTTTTTGTATTACAAAGTCTATTTTTCCACCCACTGGAATATTGATGCCAACTGATTTAGAATTTAATGTTCGTTAAACTATCGTTAAAACAAACAGAGGTTACAGAATCAACAAAGTGTACTTATATTGTGCAAGTACACTGTACCTAGTAGATACTTTTAAAGTGTAGATCAATATTTTCATCCTATTATCGTTATTTGTTATGTCAACGTTAATCATTACCTGCACCAATTAAGAAAATACAGGTAATAACTCAATATCAATATCAATTATTTCATAAACAAAACGTATGAATAACCCTTCAGTGCTTTAGGGAATCAAAGCTGTGAACGTAGTCCACAAAAATGTAACCAACAAATACAGGAAAATGCACTCGTTCTCACCGATCCAAGGCCGCATCAACGCATAGGAAAACTCGTCTTTTGGATCTGAAATGCGAGTATAGGGGCAGATGTTTATCAAAACAAACAACATGGAAAATAAAGTAGATTGTAATTACATACATAATTTCAATCTGCACAACATTCAGGCTGACAACAGTTATTGGTGTTCATCAGAAAGATTTAGATAAAGGTAAAGAAGATTAAAAATAACTGAAGGTCAATGAAGATCTCCCTTTCAACTAAAAAATCCTTCTAACAGGCTTGTTTAAAAGTTTAGCCTTTAATAGGTTCCTATCGGACGGTGCTTTGGTTTTCATCAACTGCGTTTTTTTAATATTCTGGAATATATCCTTCCGTGTCCTAAAGTGCTGATTATGGTAGAATCCTCTTGAGATATTCTATTTCTATTAAGCTGGACGTGTTTGAGGTTCATTATTTGCCTGTGGGTTCCGTTGTTGTATAGCTTCTTTTCATTTGAGAAAGTGACATTACTTATCATCATCAGGTTATTTTATTCAGAATATTTTATTGATAAAAATAATCAATAGGACTAGACAGCGGGCTAGATCCTACATAAGTCTTCTTCCAAGACAGCATGGTGGTCAGACATAAACATAACATACATACATACATACATAAAATTATAAATTTAGTGTTGACAGACTAATCAATTTTTAATTATAGGAGACATCTCTGTTATTATTTATACTTTAATCTTATGATTTTAAGAAGATAATTAACAATCCATCAGCTTTTCAGTTTGCTATGTCTTATGATATTAAATGTGCTTTATATGTACTTTCTCTCCCATATAGAAGGGGTTTGGGCCAGAATGTCCATGATATGAAAGTTCGCTCTCTCTCTCTTCAGTGAGGGAGCAAGTCCACATAAAGCATATGTTTCTTACAACAAAGCATTATCATAAAAAAAGGATATTCAGAACAAGATAAAGTGCTGTTCATCAGGTTTTATTCACATTGTACTTTCTGTTCATCTTCTGTCCTAGTCTTATCGAATTTGAATTTGGATTATAATTATGTTCACGTGCTAATATATTTTGTTGTTATTGTTCATTAAATATTGTTTTGTTGTATTATTTATTGATGATCCACTGTTCAGAATGTAGACTTTAGAGAGACCGTCAACCGTTAAACAAAAATAGAAATTCCATCTGCTATGTTTGACGAATAAATTGAGAATATCCATTTGTTTTATTTAGCAAGTTCGATAAAAAGCAAATATTGACCCACTTTCCTATAATTGAAGTCAAGGACAAATCGGTACATTGTATTTAACTCCCGGGTCGCGTGTTCTGGGTTGTCCATTAAGGTTGTACACATGTGAACTTCTTTATATCCACATATAATGACTGGAGATAATGTCAGTATTGTCTTAATCCTTTGACAACATAGTTTTTCATTTTACAAACTAACTCTCAGCATTTTCAAGAAGAATTTATTTCATGACTATCTCTGCAAAAATGGAGCTACATGCATGTTCCTGGTATACTTTTTTTAGTACATCATCACTTTATTCATACAAGATATGTTGTTTTATCGGCAAAACCGTGAAGAAAATGGTACAGAAATGTGTAAAATGATTCTTTGTTCTTGTGTGGTGTTGAGTGAAGATGAAGAAGTCCAAATGCTGTTCGGGTGTTGAAGGTTTATTGCGGTGTAGGTTATGGAGAGATGGAACACCCACATGCCTTCAGGTACCAATCCATACTGGCTAGAAAGGTGGTCGTATTTATACTAGCCATGTTGATTAACTGATTAAGTACTATTGCACATTAGCTAACAGGTAACCTAGGGTTGAGTAATATTTAAGTTATGGATATGGTCTTACACACATAAATCGAAATAGATTCGGCTGTTTACAACAAGGTAAGGTTGCACTGACCATCATACAAACTGCTTAGATAGGCTTCAGGTAATGACTTATATAATCAGGGAACGAATTAATGCATGAACATGTGAAGTAGATCAACCACGATAAAATGCCTCTGGCCACTGGTCAATACATAATTGTTCACAGTAGATGTCAGTAATAAATCAACAGAGGCAGATACATTATGATGAAATACCTGACTTATGTCTAGCACAATTTTGAATGATTTAATCTTACACATTAGCTTTTAATAGTTCATTCGTCCCTTTGTATAAAATTGATTTCAAATTAGTTACAATTTGACATCATCTCTGGAAATATATATAGTTCATGTGAGTAATTATCTCATTATTGATATCACTTACAACAAAAACTGTAATCAGCTTAATAGTAGTAGTTAATAGTAGTGATATCTTAAATTAAATTTTATCAATTTTGTTAATTGTTCGGCTATTCCTTCATAAGAACAACTGACTATAATACAGTGGGACAAGGATATGATTGAGTCTGTTACCTGATCCTGATAAAACATGCTTGGCTGTAGACGGGTGAACCATGTTTAAGTAAGCGTCTACAGGACCCATCCACACAGGAAATACACCGTTGTAGGTGGCAGCATAGTCGGCAGTTCTCAACAGTCCATCTAAGTCACCAGTGATCTTAAAAACAGACAGATTCTTGGATTTCTTAAAGAAGCGTATCCCTTAAAAATGTGATTATAATCCATTTAATCCGTCCTTACTTATTGATACCATGCACAGTTTCGACACGTTTCGAGTGTTGAGTGAAAACGAGCAGGTCTCTGATACCACATATGACAACACTTTGACCCTCATATTTCAAGTTGAAACAGACAGAGAAAATGAAAAAACCTTGTTAGCATTCATAACATTGCTTAACATAGAGTATGGCATAAATGAAATCTCTAAATATCCAATGATAGCTTACTCCTGTTTTTTTTTAGGACGCCGGTCATTATACTTGTCATCCAGGCCAATATAACATAGAGCAGGACGTAATATTGAAAGTGGTACTATAAGGGCTGTCATTATTTTTTTTATTCGAATGTTTCCTTAGTTTTAAGAATGGAATAAAACTACAGATATTAAATACACTGAAAATAAAATTAATACAGAAAATATTGATGACTACGGAGAGGAGGACCTTGCATCGGGAAAAACAGTGATAATTTGAACTGTCGGACAAACAACCTTATCAGGAAATAAATCCAACTGGAGACATTTTACTACTGCACAATGATAACAACATAACTAAACACCTACCTCTTTCATATTACCATACAGCCAGTGAGGTTTCGGCCCTGGAAAGTCCTTGAACACTTTCTTTAAGTCAGACCTCTTTTTCAGAATTTGAAATAGTTTTAGAAGAAAGAGGATAACTACAAATAACGGCACGACCTGGAGAAGTACTGTGGTGAGTGCCGCCATATTGTTTAGAAGATGGTGACAAGGTGAGGACCGATCTGTGTGATAAAGATATAACAGTTAGGCCGGACTGGACGATAATAATCGTACATCTGTTGACTTTACCACGGACGGATATAGAGATAACAACCCAGGTGGTCAGTTGGTCATTTGGACAACCATAATAATTATCTGAGTTTGCCGTAATCTTATAAAGGGGTGTTCAGAGTGGGTAGGTAGGAAGGATCCATTTTTTTATTACCCCGGGTGGAAATATCGGGGGCATATTGCCGTCTGTTTTCTGTTGGCAACATTAATCTAACCAATACTTATTGCACCGTATGAGGTAGGGCTTTCATATTTAGCATGTGTGTTCTTTTTGACAAGACCTTTCTGCTGGTACCATGTGACCATGACCATGACCTTTGACCTACATTTGAAAATGAAAAAAAAAACCAACATTACCACAATGAAGACAGAAGTGTTTCATAAAGTGTGCATGCAATAATCACACGCCTTAAACAGTACAGTTTTTGCCTGTTCTTGCAATGTCTAAAATAAAGTCACCATGTACCCTATTTGATCAACCTCAATGCTGCGAAGCTCTGTTTGCGTATGAACTCAACACAATATATATGGCGGTAAATGGCACACTTTTCTTGTTGAAGTAGCCTATGATAATTTATTTTGAAATCAACTAGTTACATAAATTCAGATAATCTTAAGAAATTATATAATGAAAAAACAGCAGAGGTGAGCGGCACAAAGTGAGCCAAAATGACAGTTTGGCAAATGTCATTCGTTTTAATGTCCCACTTCACTTTTTTGTTGTGACCGGGGGGTAAAGTTTTTCGTAAACACATCTTGTTCACAAATAATTTTACAATGAATTTATAGAATTCAATGCATATGGTATCGCTATCACATGGAGTCTAAAACACACGGTATAATTATTTCTGAAATTTTATTTTACTATTTGTAATGGAGATATCATTCACTTCCATGAAAAAAAACTGGATTTTCTTTGGGAAGTTTCCATATAGGAAATGGGACACCGTTCGAGGTTGGTTTTATTTACAAACATGTAAATTTCGAAAAAAATTAGTTGGAGCTGGGCGAGGATATTCTCTTTAGCTAACAAATTAACCAATCTGTGCTTAGAATTTTGATCGAGCTGTTTACCCAGGAGTGGTTTGCCGATATGTCCATACCGATTTTCAGTATTTTACAAGCCTGGTTACTGCTTTATGAGTACATAACACGGAGAAAGTATTTGTTGCAACAAACTAACAAGTGTATTCACTTTTAATACTTTACGACATGCGAACATAATCATAATCCAAACTCAAATTCCATAAAACTAGGGCAAAATTTGAATAAAAGAAAAATTTACACGGAGACTCCCGAAAAAAATGAAAATAAGACCATGTGTTTCCGGAATAGAAGCGTCTTCTGCTTCATCAACCGCTGTGTGAAACTCCGAGTTTATTTCTGTCATGTCAGATAAGTGTAATCTAGAAAAAATATTGAAAACCTAAGAATATTGTTTTCATTTTTTTTTTATATCTGTGAATCATGGTCGACTTTGATATAAGTACTGTTTATCTAAAAAAACATGTTACCGTGTTTCAGTACCGATTCTACAGATCATGTTTCAGATTGTCCAGCTTACTTACGATGTGTGACAGAAAGGTAGAGATGAAAAATATTATCCTTCAAACAATAAATACTCTGTTTATCTTCCACAGTTTATAGTGTGCTTCAACAAACATTTTTATTATCTTTTATATTCTAGTGTTGTCAGTTAAGGTTACAGACAGGCAGAAATTTATCAGTTAAGTTATATTACATCATTAAGTCGATTATGAGGCCAACACGAATCGGCCGCCAATACAGTAACTCACCAAGGTGCTTGAATCTTCCACTCTTGTAGTCACATTTAAGCGTTTGAGAGATGTAATTTTCAAATCTACAAAACAGCCAACAGAAAAAAAACATTTTGAAAAAATTGTCGGACAACTCAGCAGGACTTGATTTAATCTTAAATTCGATAAAACTTTGGTTAAAAAAGCCATAGGCAAATAACGTCGGAGTGTTTCGGCCACTATAAAAATATTTGAGAAAAAGCATCATAGGATGACGAGCCTTAAAACAAATTATCTTAGAAATTACTACAATCATACAACGACCGATTAAAACAAAAAGTCTGATGACGTCAATAAAAGCAAGAGACCAACTCTAGCTTTTCATTGCTCACAGAAATCCGTGCACATTTAACGTTGTTGACTCGCTATTGGAAATGTATTTTATGACACTGAAAGTCTTAAAAACTAACATAAATGATTCGTAAATAGAAATCAGAGAAGAATTTACCCACAAAAGACCTCGCAATCTGTAATACAATACCATAGATTTATAGTTTATATGATAAAGAGAAGTGATAAATCTGAAACAAAATAATACAACCGGTGTAAATATCATGAACCCGAAAGTGAAATGATTAACAGAGACGAACCCTGAAGCTGATGTCCAAATGAATTCAAATGAATTAATCACATGCTGATTCTGTTAAAAGACAAGAGCAAGATAATATCGAACAATTTTTCGAAAATAAAATAGAAGGTGTTAGTAACCTTGTGTTATTAATATTCAAATCAATATCAGTTATTGTCTGTATTTAATCATAATGTCTCGAACTTCCGGTCGAGACAATTACTACTTAAACTGATTTGTTTTTGTAGTTGTTCATTTAATTTTTGTTTAATGGAATTTATAGATTATATTTAACATTTAGACAATCTACATCCACCAGATTTGTGTCAACGCTACCGAACCAAAGATATATTATATTGAAGAGCAAACCAAACATAGGTCCAGCCCTGTTACAGAAGGGGACAGTAATAACAACTGCATAATGCAATCCATTTACACTGTTTAATGGTAGACAATGTATCTAATGTACTTTACAGACTGATGAAATACACCAGAGTGGTGAACATTTGTCGTAGGTAGGGATTATGAATATTTAGTTTGTGACGTCATGATTAATATCGATAGATCTTAGAGAAAGCCATGCTCGTAAAAACACATGTATGATTTGTGCTGTGTTCTTTAAAATTGGAGTACATTCTTTAATTTTCTTCCCGAGGAGAGGAAGCGGGTTTCTTCTTTTTCTTCTTCGGTGTTATGGCACTGGCACATGGAATTTTGTAATTAATATTTATAGGAAAAGACCGTTAATTTCAGGCGCTTTAAAAACACTGTACCTGACTTGATAATCATCACGAGAATTTAGTTTTAATGTGAGTTACCGTCCTCTCTGTGACACATTGACTTCATACTTGACTAGACGCTTGTTGTGACAATGATACGAACTAAACATCTCTGTGTCATACTAGTGTACTGTCTGTTCTGCGTGAGCATATCCGGAGCGAACACCATCGGTAGGTACAACTCTTCTCTGAAAAATATAAGGATAAGAACTGGATTCCTTTGCTTGGAGATACTTTCTGTGTTTCCTAGTGAGGGCGTCACCCCTTGGTACTGTTTTATTGTAATCAACACGCCATACTTCGTATTTAACTGCTAAAAAGATTTTTGCTGTCATCTCATCTCAGTTCTGAATTTTTAAAAAGCCATGATGTACTTGGTTAAGATTTGTTGAATTGCTTGGATATTTTTCGGACAAACAATTTCCAAAATTCTCCATAGATATTTTGTTGTAGTGTCTAGGTTAATATTATGTTTCAAACAATAAAACAAAACACTGTGTTCTATCAAACAAATTAAACTGAAACACAGGAATGCATGGACTTAAAACTGATTTACTTGATTGACACGGATAATTCGCTATTCTAGATGTCTGACTTAGGTTTCCTAACGGACCAGATTTTATAGTATATTGCTTTGCTTTAAATCAGGTTGTGGGGAGTGTGGCTGGATCTTGAATGGGTTAGCGTGCTACTGGATCAGTTCTGATGTGGACAGCCTGCATAGTTGGAATGATGCTAAGAGTATCTGTGAGAGACGCCAAGCCGTGCTAGCATCAGTCAATACTGAAAACCATGCTTTCCTTATAGACGAAATGGAAGCAAGGTAGGTTGGCAGTAGTTGTGTGCTATCTATAACAAAACAGTACCAGTTTTAAAAAGTTTCTGAGTTTTTTTCTTCGTACAACCAATATACAACAAATACTCAACAAAGAAGTAGGATTTGTTCAACGCCAACGTGTCGGATGACAAATGCAATTAATTATAGGTTTCAAAATCAATACCTGAACCAATTCTTCTGTAGCAGAAGATTAATGTAAAATGAAATGATAGTTAATAAGTTATATACTCTAGCAGAGGAGTAATTGGTTTGAATGAACAATTAAACATACAAGTACCTGTTATTTTATATGTTAGAAGGATTTAAAAGTGCTATTATGTTATTTCGTTTCGTAGCAGGCGAAATTTTATAGATTAGATTGAACATAAATATAAGCTTACATACTAAATCAGCATTGGGTAAAACACCTGTAATTGATTCAGTTTCTGTACGATTACTTGAACACCATGCGTAATTATGAAAAATACCACGAGCTTTTGGCCAGCTGTGAACATCCACATCTTAAAAAATCTTTCTACAACATGTACGTGTAGAGCTTTTGACAACTGTGAACATCCACATCTTAAAAACCTTTCTTCTACATGTACGAGTGATCATTTCTACTCTGTACACTGTCATGTCTCATTCCAACCTTACAAAACGTCTTCGCCACAGAAATGTGAAAGACGTTACAAGTATGTGTTGTGAACCTTGAACTTCTGGTCGATAACATTTTCGTTTAGTTTGATGATGATATCACACAACAAGCCATTGGCATAAACAAGTAAGTCAATGATGTCCCTCTTTTTCCTGAGGTTTTATTGTTAATGTTTCCTAAGAAGCTTAATTCATCGAAGAAGTAATTAGATACGTCCTGGAAACGTTGCCGAGTTCCTCAATTTTAGAGACGTAAATAATGTCTCGTCTTAAAATAA